GATACCAGCAATTATTCTATAATTTTTTATGTGTTAAATTTTTTATGAATAAATAAAAACAAATTCTGGCATGCTTCATTCAGTGCACACACAATTAAAATTTTTTGTTTTATTATGGCCGGACGTAGACAGAGAATCCTATAGACAAAGTGATATCTTTTGTCGCAGTCACACAAGAGAAAGAGCAACTTACGCCGATGTCGTGTAAAGAAATGAGAAAGAACGATAAGATGTTTTGTTTCGCTGAGCGTGTCGCTTTTCTCAATATTTATCAAAGTACTTTGATAAACAAAGTTTGACAGCTAACGTGTAGCGAGGTAAATTCTTTGTATAAAACACTGTTTTACGTGTTTTATGTTAAGTATTTCATATTATATTTTGTTGTGAACAATTTAGACGTAGTATTCCAACTATTTTTATTTAAAACATGGTGCGGTGTAGTGTTTTAGGGTGTAAAAGTGATAGTGGAAGGAAAATGTCGGGATTGTCTTTTCATTCGTCAAGTATACCACTCTATCGGTTACTAGGTATTCTGTAACATTTCATGAAATGCATATATTGTGTATAATGTATTCTAGACGTAAATTTATCGTTAAAAAGTACAAAAATAACAATTTCAAATTTTAACCCAAAATCTTCGGTGTGGACAACTTTTCTATAAACTATTACCCACTATTATGGGAAATGATAATATCTGCATACCGGAGGTATATTATCCTAAATCCATTTTTTCGACATTCACTTTGTAATGTCATTGAAACAAAAAAGTAACGATCTACTTGGTGGTATAATATTTTAAGTCCAACAAAATAAACTAGGTACAAACTTTCGAACTCGGTAACATGTTTTAAGTCCAGATTAATTCAAAGGTATACAATCTCATCTGGACTTATGCTTTTGTGCCGCTCTATTATCAAAAATGAAAGCATCCTAAGTCCAAATTAAATGAGAAGTTTGTTTTTGAACATAAATTGCACTTTATTATTTATATTTATTTATTGTATTATGTAAATTGTGCATTTATCTGCGATTTAAGAGGGTGTTCCAAGTACATCTCATGATGTACCAAATTCTATATGCCAGAATAATTTACAACAAATTCATAATAATGTACCAAAAAACGAAAAGTTCGGAATAAAAGTACAATAGAGCAGACAGGAAAAAAGTGAATAAGAAATGATCTTAAGCTTACTTCTGCAAAAGTGGTAAAACAGTAACTTGCAAAAGAATGAAACCTGCATGTAGCACAAATTACCACATGAAATGCAGTTCTAAAATATCCGAGCAGAATAAGGAAGAGATATTTACTTTGTATTGGGATCCAGAAAAAGACTACAATGTTAAAAGGCAATTCATAGTATCACGTATCCAGTCAAAACCTACAACAAGACAAAGACAGATCAGGAGATGAATCTAAGTTAGGATCAAATACTTTAGTTTATTCTTTTGTTGTTAATGGTATAACAACAGCAATCTGTAAGACAATGTTTCTAAATTTCCCAACAAGTGGTTAAGACTGCTTAAGACTGAGATAAGAGGGATGTAATGTTGAAAGTGACAAAAGGGGAAAACATGAACCATCGAACTAAACAGATCATGAAATTATTAAATCTGTTATGTCCCACGTTTCATTTCTCCCAAAGTATGAATGTCACTACAATAGTGAGAGATCAAAGAGATGTTATTGAACAAATTTCAACTAAGTTTTATAATAAAGTACTTAGGTATTACTTCTGTATTTAAATTATTACTTAATTCTTTTTGCTATAATTATTTATTTGACAAAAAAATGAAATTAATATACCTTTCATTATCCTTAGGTAAGTTAAAAAATGATATATCTGAATCCTTTTGTTTGCTCATTATGCATCCATCTTACGCAACAATTATAGTAGGTTCGAAGTTTTGCCATACACATATATTATTTTTAAATCACATAAATTTCTTTGAACTATTTTATCTTACAATTAAATACTAAACACTAAAAAAATTACAAGTGTTTATAAAAAACTATTTACGTAAACAGCGTTAAAAATACATCAATCGCACAACCCGCTAGCCCCGACTGCGTATTACACCCAAATTCACCCAAATCGCGATTGTAGGAAATTATTTCACGCAGCTAGCAAGAGTGACAGAGGGCTGGTAACAGTTAGTTCAGTATTTTCTTTCTTCAAGATTTAAACACAACCTAAATAAATACAGTCTACTTAGCTCTCATTCATTTACACAATAGTTTCTTTAAGTTTATTAGTCAGATAGATATCACAATTTTTTAGTTTCTTCTTTCTTCACCAAAGTAAATTATAATAAATAATTAGTCAAATACAGTCCACTTAGCTCTCCATCAACTACAATACATACCAATGATAATCGTTAATAGCAGTGTTCCCTTTCAGGCTTACTTCACGTACTAATTTCTAATTTTATAGCTAGTTGTGGGGTAAATTTTTCCTCACACTTGTAACCCTAAATATAGTGATGTATTTTTTTTGTCTCTTTCTGCGACACGCTATGGCGGTGTCTATAGGATTCTCTGTCTACGTGGCCGGATATCCGACACAATATGGCTGCGGCACGCCAGTACAATATGCTGTCAATTGATGACGTCATTTATATTCGGCAGTATACTGGAAACGTTTTGGAATATACCCTATGTCTTCAAGGCTCTTCTTGCCAGTTTTAACCTAGTATTTCTCATATTTTGATCAGTTAGCATTTGAATACATAACTTCACTGGCGTTCTTATGCTCATATTTCTGCATTCAGGTACAACACACCAATGATAAAGGTGATAACTCCAAATTAAACGTTCAAAAATATATTATTCCTTTGCAAAATCGTTTTATTTCGTAGACAGAGAAACCTATAGACTAATTATTAGCGTGGCCTCGAGTGAGAAAGGACGATAACGTAGTTTTAGGTTATACAATAATCTTTATGACTTTTAAACATAATTAGATAAAATTTTTAATTGTTCTAAGAACTAAACTGAACAAGATTCACCAATCTTAAGCTCACAAAACACTTTTCTCTCACTGAAACCAAATTGTATATTCCTTAGATCGCTACGAACTGTCCAAGTTGTTTAGCAAAGTGTAGTTTGCTAAACAAAAAAACCGGCACGGAGAAAGGGACAAACAATCACACCGCTCTGTCTCATTTCTATGCAAGACGTATGTATAAATCTATCTATATATCTATCTATATATAGGCGTCAATTTGTCTATAGGTTTCTCTGTCTACGTTTTATTTACTAGAACAGTGATGTCACGAACTTGTCACGAAGTTGACAGCTTGGCGGCTAGCGTTTTCGTGGGAAAATTTAAAACGAAAAATTAAAAGTAATTTTTATGGCACTGGTTTAAAAAAATGTAAAAGTTTTGTGGCTCATTATCACTCTAGGATTCATTTAAAACACTATTTGAAAATGGGTGTGCTACCTTATTACACATACATTCATTCTTATTCTTTATAAAAAAAATAACAAACATGTAACACTCCTTTGTTTTTGTCGGGGGTTAAAAATTAAAAGATTATAATTAGAAAGCTTGCCGATCCGCATACCAAGCGTGTCATCTATGGCAAAATCCCTCCTATGATGCAATCTGTGGGGGAGGCCTATGTTTGGTAGTGAACTTTTAAAGAATGTAATTGAACTTATTGATAAAAACAGAATTTTGTTCATATAAAAATTTATGTCAAAAAACTAGAATACAAGAATCATGAGTATTGCTAATAAAAATTAATTCATGAATATAAAAAGAAAATACCAGTTACTAGATATTTATTATTAGTTGTTGTTTATAATAGATTAACTAGAAAGTTATAAAGATAGTAAAAATAATTATTATACAATTTCTAAAAGAAATAAGAAAATATCGTATAAAACCAGCAGCGTGGATCCCATCTTGGTTTACAAGGACGGACGCTATGTTCCAACAATGGCTGTATGGTATACACGCTTCGGCCTTCTGTAGGTAGTTGTTAATTCGTTTGTTTGTAGAAAAGTTACATTTAAATATGTTCTCAAAACAAATGTGTACTCGCTGGAGAAAACGTAGCACTAGAACACCCTAAATATAAAATTTTACGAGTTATAACAGTTTTAAGTTGAAAACTTTTACGAGATATAACATATTAGGGGTCTAATAACAAAGGCGGCAAAGTCCCATATAAATATCTCGAAGTTTCAACTTTTGCTTTCAGCTTTGGATTGGTTGAACTCGAGCGTAAATAAAGTTAAAATATGCAGAGTGAGAATGAAATTGCTCAACGATTGTGACTGGCTTTCGAGACGAGCACCAAAAGACGCAGTGTACATACAAAATTGAATCGGCGGCGTCTCCATAGTTGAAAATATAAATTTGTTTTAATACCATCACCTTGCAAAATTAAATGTCAGCATTTGTGAATTGATTATACACACATTGTGATTTTAAGAGGATACCTTGAAAACGAATCGAGTTTTGGGGGCGTGGTTTCCTTTGTTGGTGAAGACCTCGCATCACGGACGACTGAGGGAGTGTCAAAATTAAGGTGGTGCAATGACTTCAAAACACGCAAATTATGAGATAGCTATACTGAGAACGCGCTCGGCAAAAAAAAAAAAACTAAGTAAGAGCCAAACAACAACTTTGTTTTTTTGTAATATAACTTTAATATAGATTAAAAAGCTGGTTTATGAGAACTTAGATATAATTATTTACTATACCTTAAAATAATTCCATGAACTTATTCGTAAAAATATTGTGGTGTCATGGAGAAATATAATTAATTAGAGCCTACTTTGCAATTTTTTTCTATTTAGATAAATACATGTTATCGTGTCTTCTTTTTATAAGTCTAAGGTTATATAGTCTAAAATTATATTCCAAAAATTTGGTTCGTAATCTATAAAACTTAAAAACATATGTGCAATAGAAAAACGTGTTATGGTCCGATATGCTATATATGCTAAAAAACTAAAATAATTACTGTAAAAAAATCGTGTCACTTACTTTTCCAAACGATCGCCGAGTTTATCCGATAAATGACTATCTTTGGGTTTCGTGAGATCGGAATCGTAGAGGTCTCTTTTGTAGCCGCGCCAAAACGTTGGCATCATCCAGATGAACCATGCTCGGGACACAATATTTGCCCGTTTGTAATTGTTGGTCTTCTTTTCACGATTCTGCGGCGGTATTTTCTTAGGGTCGCTTGGATCTTTGTTGCCACTGACCATTTTTATTTATTTTTTCAATTCTTTGTTATCGTTGAACAAAGGAAACGAAATGAATGTGAGTTAAGTATGCTAGTCCAAACGTCTGTAGCTTCAAACACGCAAACTTAGTAGTGTGTGAGATGCAAAATTTTTTCGGGAGAATCTATGCCGCGATACTGGTGCTAGGGCTGGGATGCGCATGCGCACAGCGCCTTGCAGGTTGCAAGTGACGACGCGGTTGGTACGCTAACCTTTTTTCACTGACTGGCGCGCGCTCGGCCTGCACGTTTATATGAACGCGGTTTGAGCGGCGCCAGTGTCTTCTTGCTTGATGACGTTTTAAGCTCTTCACAGCCTCATTAAGACTATAAGCTACACTCGCAGAGCTTTTGAAGCACACGTATAACTTTTTCCGCTCCATCAAGTGAATAGTTGAATAATATGGTGCATGGTTGCTTAATAATTTTATTGCGGGTCTAGACACAAACATTCCTAGTGCAGATGCCAACGGTCACATTATTATTTAATTGCTATCACTTTATTTTTTAAAACAGTAATAATAAAATCGTTAGTAGTTATCTACGTTATTAGTTAACAGGTTCATAATATGTAGTACCATTATTGCTACGGTATTAGTTAACGAGATCGTAATATATATCATGATTAACGACTGTCCGCTTAGAAAGGAACATTTGGGAAATTCCACGCTTAAGGGAGTGAATCTCTATATATAAAAATAAATTGATATCCGTTAGTCTCGCTGAAACTCGAAAACGGCTCGAACGACTTTGATTAAATTTTTTGTGAGCATTTGACAGGGTCTTTGGATGATTTAGATTCACAACTGAACCTGGTTGATTTTTTCAGATTGATCCAGAAATCACCCGTACATAGCCAGGGCGGATTCGTATTTAGAAATAAAATATTGTAAGAGATATTGTGAGTTAATATAGTTAGATTACACTACAGTTAGATTAATTAACACTATTATAGTGTAACAATGTTTCGACAAAATTCGACGTAAAATAAAGTTGAAATCGCTATTTACAAATGCATTTTTGAATATACTTAGTTTTATTTTAAGAAGACTGTCAATGAAATGGGTTTTTATATGTATCTTACAACGGTGGCAAGTTTTATCAATGTTTGGGATGGATTCGCATTTTTTCGCAGATTTTCAAAAAACTGTGGGAGGTAAAATGGTTAAGCTATTTAGTCGCGCAAAATATTATGATTTTGTTATAATAAATTACGTACCCATTCCCAATTTTATTCAAATAATATGTAATTTATGTGTGGTCTCAGTACATTTACAGTAAATTTCACAGTACGTAAACAACCGCAGTTTGATCCCTGCCGGCACCAATGAAATTGCTAACTTCAATTTTAAGTTAGTTTAAATTTATTTCAAAATTTCCATATTCAACAAGATCAGACTCGCCTTCTAGCTGTTTCGACTAAGGAATCTAGCCACTGGTTACATGCTCTACCATCAAGTAATCTCGGCACATTGCTTGATGGGGAAAGCTTGCGCATCGCCGTAGGAATATATAGGAGTGGCTATTTGTCAACCTCACCAGTGCCCCTGTGGTAGCAGCGTCGATGAGTTTAGGCTCCACGGACTTTCATGCAAGAAAAGTGCAGGTAGGTTTTCCCGTCACGGTTCTTTGAACGAAATCATCCAAAGGTCTCTTGTCTCTATAAATATACCCTCGGTTTTAGAGCCTTGCGGGATATTTAGAGACGATGGCAAGAGACCCGACGGTATGACTTTGGTCCCTTGTGAGAGAGGTAAAGCCCTAGAGTGGGATGCTACTTGCGTTGACACTTTGGCGGCCTCTCATCTCAAGGGTTCTCTTTTAGAGCCGGGGCGGCATCAGAGGCAGCCGAATTTAGTAAATGGCGCAAATATGAGTCTTTGAGAAATGACTACATATTTGTGCCATTTGCTGTAGAGACTATCGGTCCGTGGGGTCCACGTGCAATGAAGTTTCTAAAGGTACTGTATCCACGACTGGTCGTCGCTGCTGGTGATAAGAGGGCTGGGTCTTTCCTCGCTCAAAGGCTAAGTATAGCCATTCAGCGAGGAAACGCAGCCAGCGTTCTTGGCACAATACCACGGGGAGCAGGTCTTTTTGACGACTTAAATTTTTAGTTTTAGATTTTCTATATTATAGTCTTCTTTTAGATATTAGTTTTAACTTAAATATTATAATTTTAATTATTATTTTAGTTAAGTTCTTTTTGTAATTTTTGTAATATAAATTGAACGTTGTAAAAAAAACTTAAAATATATGATACAAATAATAAATCAATCATTTTAAGTGCTGATTTGCTATGTGCTCGGCGGTGAAGGACAACGTTGTGAGGTACCCTGCATCTCTTAATAATAATAAAAATCGGATATATACGCCTTCAACACGCATTGGGGCAGCGCAGAATATATTTCCTTGTTCTAATTACCCTGTCCAGGAACATAGGTTATAGCTTAAATCGACAATATATTCGCAGGAATGATGCTTGTGTAGTCTTAATTTGCTATTTTTTTTAAATTTGTAAAATTGCGGTTGCCCCGCTTTCCAAGCGTGGCAACTATGTCAAATGTCCTCCTCATGAGGCAATCTATGGTGGAGGCCTGTGTTCAGCTTGGACTTTAATAAGCTGTAACGGAATAATAAGTTAATAATTAATTAGTTTAGCATTGCACTTGAGTAATTTTGCGTGGCGTTTGTTGCGTTTGTGCCTATATAAAAAGAACTTCCTACACGTAGTAATTATTTTTGATTCATTTTTTTTTTGCTAATATAGTTTTTCATAAAAAAAAAATAAACGGTGCTATAGTTGAAAATAATATCGTGGTGTTAAGAGAGAGTGGAGATGTTGAGTTAATATGATACATTATTTGATACTTAAGCGGCTAAAACCTACATAATACAGTACAAAATACCTAGTTTCCCAACTTATGCTACGACAGAAAAACAAAAAATAACTTGGATCATTCTGCTGACTATTATTAGGCCAAACGTCAACGTCTGAATATTCTAAAAAAAAAAAACATTAATTGCTCACAACCTATTTGCTATAAGTGTACGCGAAGAATCTACCCGTATCGATGTAACTAATAGTGAACTGCTAGAAACACTGCGATAATCTACTGGATGCGAAAACCAAACAACAAAGCAATAGGCACATTATACTATATGGTAGAACTATTTCATTGCCTGGAAGTTCGTCCGAGTAGGTAACACGCTTTCAGCTATTTCTGACGCAAGGAGCAGTGCGTCCACTGTGTTCGGGTCTGAAACGTATGGAGAGCCAGTATAACTAGTACGATGCAGATGCAAACGGAAAACCTTTTGCTAGCATCATAAACGGAGCGGAGTAAAAGTCTAAAGCGCACGCTTTTGCTTTACATGTATTTTCCCATAGACAATTTAGTTTTTGGTTATTTTTTAATATCTTTTAGACATATTCATATTTTTATTATTTACAAACCTTGTCTGTATTGAGCTACAAATATTGCCGAAAAAATTATATAAATTGGCCTACGGGTTACGGAGGAGATAGATTTCAAAGAATCGTTTTCTTGCACCGTGGGAGCTTCGCTGGCTTCGCTTTAATTACAGGCATTCTATCTTTTTCCTCAGAGATGACAACGCATTCACGCCTTCTTTGTTTGAAATCGGTTGTAAGTTACCCATGGGTTTCAGTAGCCACTTACAGTCAGGTGGAACGTAAATTCGTTTCTCACTTTAGTTTTGTAATAATAGAATATTTTAAAGTAAAAAGCAGCTTCGTTTACATATATATGTTTCAAAATAAATGAGAAAAAAACATTGTGGATGAATAAAAATTAATCAATCAGAGATAATAAATACTAATGTTCAAGAAGTCAACATTTTTGCAAATGTAGCACACATGTTTATATAATACATCGTCTAACTGTCAAAACTAAATGCATTAGTCTGGACATATTTTTTTATTAAATCATCATTTAAACTACGTGTTGTCTGGATCCTTATTTAACCAATGCTCTTTTGAGATGTTTTAGTTATCTCTTACTGCGTTGCTTTATTAAACCTGCTCTCCCAGTTTATCCTAAAAATGTTCTAATGGGTTTAGTTCTGAGTAGTTTGGCCTCGTAAACCTCGATTTTGACCTAACGTTACCCAAAGCTATAGCTGCAGTGTGGGACTGAGCATTATCTCTAAATAAAAGTGAATTAGGTATCTCCATATTTAGAACAAAATACATTTCTGCGGGTTCTAAAATGTCGTGATGCATTTTTGTATTACACAAATGGTTTCAGCTTGGATCCGTACTTAGGAACCGTAGCATATAAGCAAGATATTCTGACCACACCAAGCGATGGCCATTAATCTTTGAAATTGGCGTCAAAAATTAATACTATATATATATATATATATATATATATATACATAACTTATACATATATATATATATATATAATAATTTTGATACTAATTATATACATATTGGTCAAAATAGCAACATTGGACATCGTCCTGGCAAAGGAAAAGACTAAAATTAACTGTTGCAACAACTAAATATCAATGCATTATGAAATAAATATTAGTCCGCGATTGATAATGGATTAAATAATCTCCAATTGGTACTCTAAAAACTTTAAAGTTTAAGTTACAGCCTATATGTCTTCCGCTACCTACTGGGCAAAGGCTTCCTCTCAATTCTTATTACTAGTCTTATTTTTTCTTATTATTTTTCTTATTATTTATTATTATTATTTTTGAGAGGGTTTTAGGGCAAGGAAATGTCCGCCGCGTTGCCCGTGCAATGCAATGCCTGTTGTTTAAGACATACAGATTTCCTAACGATGTTTTTCTTCATCGCCGAGCATGTGGTAAATCAGCACCTGAAATCGCAGTTAACAATTTCATTGGTGCCGGTGGGGACCGATCCCGGGTTGCTCGCGTACCACAAAATTTACAATGGGAGCTTAGCCTCTGAGCTACCACGGCTCTATAAATTGATAAAAGCACAATTGCATAAGGACAATGATAAAAAAAGTTTGTCTTGTGAGATTGATTGATGATCATTTGCTTAAAAACACTTTCAGTGTCAAACTTTCTTCGACTAAGAGACACCGCATGCACACTGCTGAATTTCCATCAGGCGAGATTTTATTTGGTTTCTTAATAAGTATTAAGATGTAGTAAGTAAAGAAATTATAACAATTAGTTATCAGCCGATAAATCAGGTTGATGGGCTAGATACACGATTCCCTTCAAACTAAACTTCATTCACTCACTTCGTTCACCTCGCTCAGAATTTTGCCACAGAAAAGACTTGCACACAAAATGGCGCTGCTTGTCAAATGATCTTTTTTTACAGTTGATAGAGGAAGTTGAATGACCTGCGCTTTATAAGAAACAACTAAAAGAGTAGGTACTCTGATGTATAATTTAAACAAAAACATGCGGGAAGAAGAAATCTGTCACTGTATATAGG